CCCTCACTCAAGTCTTGGTGACATCAGTGGCTCCATGGGTCACCCTCGGTGCTGTGGCCGGAGCATTCTTTTCCAAGCATATCTCTAATCACCTCAATTTCCCCTTCTGAAAAACATCTCAAGGACACCATGGTGCCTACCAAATAAAGTCAAAATTCCTTGATAAGCCACTCACCTCTCCCCACTGTCTGGTCTCAGCTCATTTTCCCTCACTTTCTTCTGCTTTCCAAAGCCAGCCTCGATTTACTCCACACGCTCCCCATCTGTGCCTTTCCTCCCACTCTTCCTACTTTCTGGCAAGCTCTTATCTTCCAAAATCCACCAGTGGAAACCCACCCACTTCTCGCCCTCCAAACGCTTCTGTCCCACCAGAACCTTCCATGAGAGAGGTGCTGTGCTTTGTGTATCTTCGCGCACTCCACGGTGCCTTACACACATGGAGAAGCAAGACACGTTATACACGGAAAGATTAACATTTGATAACTTTTGGGCCGGGTACTGTAACTGGGCGTGTCATGGGTATTGTATCCTCCAGTCCACCCTGCTATTCAGATGGGTGCGTAGACTCAGAAAGGTCCACAGCCCTCGGTCATTGGCATAAACAGGGACAGAATTAGAATGTGCACCCAGGTCTGCTTCCAAAACTCCATCTTGGTGTGCCTGAGGTATTCCCTTCAAAAGAAAGTCACCTGGCTGTCTCATTCCAAGGAAATGGGGTTGGAGTTACTACAGGCCAATTCGAGGGAAGGGAGAAATAAATGAGCCATGGCCTGGGTAACCCCCAAAAGCCTAGTCAACGCGATTTTGCTCATGTATTCCTACAGTCGGCTACGAGGTGGGAACTAAAAATAACCACGAGAGGGCAGTATTTGCCCACCCTGGATCCGAGCAAAACTACCTCTGGGCGCCACGCTTGCTCTTGATAGGTGACTCATTGTAGGGAGGCTTTGGGTATCAGGGTTTCTGGCAAATGAGAGAACACGCTGGTCTCTTGTCTTCTAGCTGGGAGTTACTTAGGAAGCAGCTTGGATGGTGTTTACTTAGAAAAAAAGTCCTTCTGGAGAAGAAAGATGAATCCCAGTTACAGAACCATCTCTGGGCTTCCAGACAAAAGGAGGCCATGTTTCCACCTGTTTGCCTGCTACTAGAAAGGCAGGGATATTCGGGAAAGGCATGCGCAGCCCATTGGAAGCACTCCTAAGTGGTGATTTGGTGACGGGAAAGCATCTATGTTGGAGTTCACTCTGATAGGGAAGCGCCGATCAGTTCCTCTTTGACAGAGACTGGACACAGCAGTTCAGTCCCTGGGGAATGCCTGGCATCTTAGGAGGTGTTGCTAAAGGTGTGAAGGGTTGGAAGGAGAGCCCTGGGAGAAAAGCCACTAGTGTTTGCAAGGAGGAGATGGACAGTGGGCTTCCTTCCTGGTTGGGGAGGGTTGTCTCTGAGGGTCTGTTCTCAATGTGTGTGGAAGACCAAGCAGGAGAAAACGGGGTTAAACGCAGGCAGGCAGGGGAGACGGAGTCTGACATGAAGCCAAACCCGTGAGCCAGGGAAGAGACACCGGTGGGTGCTGCCAGGCATGGAGAGAAAGTGAAGACAGGGTTTTCCCTTTCACGTGAAGAGTCTCAGAGGTTGGGCCCTCTGGGTCTTGGCGCCCCTGGAAAGCCCTTCCAAGGAGGGTCAGGACACTCTCTCTTTGGCGGGCACTCAAACTGGTCACCAAAGAAGAAATGCACAATATCTGAGGAAACGGGGTCTCTATATGACAAAACAAAACCAGCCGATCGCTTCCCTCCCACTCCTGGGGACCCTGCAGGCTGGGGGTCACCAGAATGTCTTGGCTCTCTCTGGGCACTGCCTGGCATTGATGTTTAGCACTCAAGTATAGAAAGGGACCCCTCCCCGCAGGGACTCTGAGAAGGCAGGTGCCAGAGGTTGCTGCCTGGGAAGAAATCGCACCGGCCCGAATTCCTACTGAAGACTTCGCTGCCTGTTTTTGATCTGAGCGGAGGGTCATTTATTCATCAAACTTATTTTTACAGGTTAAAAAACTGGGGGATCAGTTTTGGAGGGCCACAAGCCCAAGGGCCAGATTCCTCACACCCTGGGTGTGCTTCCGACAGAAGAAGCCACGTGGACCTCCTGGGCTCAGGTGATTCTTTGGCCTCCAGTCTCATCCACTTTAACTGGCTTCTGTGATTTTTATCCCCAAGGGGGGGTGGGCAGCAAAGTCCATTTGGGGGGAAATAAAAAAATAACAATCATATACTTCCTTGATATGATTTCCAATCTCTGAAACTTGAAAGTTCAATCCACTCATACTCTTTTTGGTTCATAACATCACATCCAGGAAAAACTGAGGACCAGTGACTTGTCCAAAGTCTCTCTGTTGCAAAGTGGGAAGATCCTTATTCCCGTGTTCTTTGGACATGACTTCTGGGCTTTGTGGATGGGAATGCCTAGAGAGAGAGGGGTCACTGGATATGGCCAAGTCAGGTGATCCTGGCTGGGATGGGCGGGCTCGGGGAGGGGGCTTTCCCCATCCAATAGATGGCATTTACCAGTGAGAGCTCCTCACTGGTATCAAAATCTAAATGCATCTAATTCTGGGGTTGCCCCTTTCCTGGGGAGATTTCTCTTTTCATCCTCACACTCATACCCTGACCCTTTACAACCAGGACAATTAGGGGGCTTCTGAGAGTTTTAGGGATGCTAGCGTGGACCCTTAAATGTGAGCACATGAGAATTAGCATGAACCTGGGGCCTATTTCTTGGCACCGAGAGTCTTCAATGAAGGCAGTGGACTTGGATCTAAGGTCAACACACTTGCTTGGACAGCAGGCCACACATGTGCACACACACATACACACACACACACACGCATGATCAAAACATCATCATAGAAAAGAAGGGGGGGCATCAGCGACTGAGGAACTGGCTCAGAAAGCGTGTGTCCAGTAGCCTGCAGCCTTGGCGGGGGAACCCCAGAGAACAAACCCTAACACGAGCGACGGCCGTGTGCCAGTGGTCATGCAACCGCGACGTGCCCTCATCAGCATGAGAGAGGGGAACGGAGTTTTGTAAGAGCCACTGCAGATGATGAAGGCATTGCATTGCAGCAGGAAACTCGAGGAGAGGACCCGAGAGGGCCCAGGAAACCACCAAGGGGCCAGAACCCGGAGGAGGGAAACCAGGACACAGCAACAAGGATGAGAGGCGGAGCGGGGGCCGCGAGGGGTCCTGGAGGAGGGTCCAGCAGTGTCTGTCCGCGCCCACGGAAGCTGCAGTTGCCGCCCACTGGAGTGCTGGGGCGGGTGCGTCCGTCTGGGCAGGAGGGTCCAGTTAGGAGCTGAAAACCCTGCAGGAGGAGGGTGGGGAGGAGTCAGTGCTAGAGGAGAGGGTGCTGGGACTCCTGCAACCCACCCAGAGGAAGCTACTGTGCTCTGGGCTCCAGGACTTCATTTTTCATTTCTTCTGCAGCCCCTCATGTCTTGGACAGGATGTGACACATAGTAGGGGCTTGTAGCAAATGAACACATGTGTGAATAAATGAATGAATGAATGAATATCTGCTCACCAGCACAACTGGCCAGGAAGAGGGGCATTTAAAAGAGTGTTTGACAAAAGGGCATTGTGATTTTTCTTTTCTTCTTTTTGAGTTGGAGTCTCACTCCGTCGCCCAGACTGGTGTGCAGTGGTGCTCCTGGCCACTGCAACCTTGACCTGCTGGGCTCCGGCGATCCTTCCGCCTCAGCCTTCCAAATATCTGGAACTACAGGCATACGTTACCATGCCTGACTAATTTTTGATTTTTTGTAGAGACGAGGTCTCGCCAAGTTGCCCAGGTGGGTCATGAACCTACGGGCTCAGGCAATCCACTCCCCTCGGCCTCCCAAAGTGCTGGGATTACAGGCTGAGTCACCGAGTCCAGCCATGATCTTTCTTTCTTTTAACTTATCACTGACTTAAAGCTCAAGAATTGTGACTGTTTTTTTTCTTTTTTTGAGTCAGGGTCTCACTCTGTAGCTCAGGCTGGAATGCAGTGGCACACTCACGGCTCGCGGCAGCCCCAGCCTTCTGGGCTCAGGCCATCCTTCCACCTCAGCCTCCCTGGTAGCTGGAACCGCAGGCATGTGCCTCTACAGCTGGCTAATTTTTTGATTTATTTTGTAGAGACAGGGGTCTTGCTGTGTTGCCCAGGCTGGTCTCAAGCTCTTGACCTCAGCAATCCTCCTGCCTCGGCCTCCCAGGGCTGGGGTTACAGGTGTGAGCCACCATGCTCGGCCAAGAATTGTGATCTTAAAAGCACAGATACGACCTTACTGGACACACAAGAGTGCTTCTGAGAGTGCTGTGTCATCTTAAGGAAAAAACAGTAAAGATGCGGGTTTAAGAAGCGAGCGTGTGCCTTAGGCTACTGAAAAGAGACAAGTGAATTTCCCGCTTATTCAAGGTCCAGGGCGACCGTGGTGGTTTCCAAGGCGTTCTGTGACAGGGAATGGGGAAGGACGCCCCTGGGTGGTGAGATTACAATTGCAGTTGCTGGGTTATGCAGTGAAAGGCTTAAGTAATGAGACCGAAGCCCAGTTTTGTGGGGGGGGGGGCAGGCTGCTTCCAGAAATTTCTAGAGGTTGAGTGAACTTATCAAAATCATTTGAATTGTGATTTGCATGAGTGAGGAAACCCTCGCCTCCACGATCTGTGGGGTGAGGGAGTGGGGTAGAAAGACCAGAATCCAAGGGTAGGAATATAACTCTTCTAGGGGACACCCCCAACGGAAGAAGCCGGTACCCAAAGCAGGGGTTCCCTGCCACACTCGAAAAGTGCTGTGCTCTAACTCCCAGTTTCAGATGCAACATTCTGGGGTGACCTGGGAATGTGCATTTCTAAAGGTCCCCCGATGGTACAGATGCTTTGTGGGACAGCCGGACACCCCCACCCGTCGGGACCCAAAAGAGGGGGGCTCTCCCACCCCTCGCCTGGGGATGGGGGCCACTTACTCATCGGTGTCTTTTTTGCTCTCTTCAATGAAGGCAATGGACTCAGATCTAAGGCGGTTGGTCACTTCGTATGTTCGCAGGGTGACCCCGAAAATGTCCTCGTGGTACCGGTTGTCATCCTAGGGGGACAGAAACAGCCTGGAAACGGCCCTCAAATGCCAGACCAGGGCTTGGAGGGGGCAGACTCGGCCTGACACCCTGGAGTGAAACATCCTTAGATGGTTCTAAAAAAACAAGGCTGGGCCAGTGTCCCCACGGCGCCTTTGGTCCCTAAGACTTTGGCTTCAGCAAGGCTCTGTTCCCAAGACACGGCGCCTCCGAGCCCAGCTGCTAAAGGACACTTGAGTCACCACCCGGGAAGGGCCGCACTCTACATTCTGAGGTCAGAAGCGATGAGGTCACATGGGCACCTCACTGTCCTCCCCTGCCCTCTCTCCAGTGGGTTCCTGCTAGTTCAGAACTGGGCGAGGTTGGCTTTGGTGTGAAATGTCGCAGCCCATGAGACCAGCAGAGAGGGGAGGAAAGAACACATGTCCACCGGGCACCCAGGGAACACTGGGAAGTGGGGGCTCCTCGGGTGAACGTGAGTTGATCTGAAGATGAGTGTCTCCGCTCAATGTTGCCAGAAACAGGCGACGGGGAGATTTCTCCTGCAGCCTCGAGAAACAGCCCACATGACTGGGGGCATATGAAGATTTATGAAGCCACAAGAGCGCCTGCAGTGGGACTGAGGGGTGGGTAACCAAGAGCACTCTCGAGGGTAGTATCTTTGAGAATCAGACAAGGGGGAAATACACTCGGGCCAGCTGGGCAGGGGTTGGGAGCGTGTATTCATTCAGCAGGCAGGGTTCCAGGATGCGCTGAGTGCAGGTCCAGTCTTCCCTTGGCCCCAGAGGTTTTGGAGAATGCTGCCCATCTGCTACGTGCGTTCCTTTTTAGCTGGGGTGATTTATTTTATTTTTGTTTTTGTAAAGACAAGGTCTTGCTATGTTACCCAGACTGGTCTCGAACTCCTGGGCTCAAGCAATCCTCCCGCCTCGGCCTCCTGAAATGCTGTGATTACAGGCACGAGCCACAGCGCCCGACCTGGTTTCTTAACTCTATTCTGCAAAGTCCTGGGGCATCTATGACGGTGTCTCCCAAGGGTCATATCAGGGAGACTGAGTATATAGGGGCTCCAGAGCTCTCCTCAGATGTGTGACATTTCTATCAGAAAGTTTCTTTGTTGTTATGATCATTATTATTTTACCAACTGGGGCTTAGCACCAGCTTTAGAGCAAAGGTTTCTCCTGTAAAAATCTTTGCTCACTGCTCACTTAAGAAAGCAAAGAGTAGGATGGAATCATCCCAAGAGCTTTGTGGAGATCCTGCACTCAATGTTTTCTTTTTGGGGCCATTGATCACACAGCTATGACTTCGTGACTGGACTGCCACTAGCCTCCACCCAGCCTTTGGGCAAGTTAGGAAAAAGTCCTTCTTTGGGGACACAGCTCCGCACAAGGGTACACAGCTTGGTGAGCTAAGCATGGGGTGACTTTCAGACCACACTTGCCCCTCTCAGGCAGGTCTTTTCGTGCAGTGCCCAACCTGTACAACTGCACAGCTCCTGGGAACATGAACAGTTGGGTTAGGATGCTTTTTGTCTAGCTCTCCAGAGGGTCAGCTGCTTGTCATTTTCACATATCACCGCAGCCAACCACACGCACCTGCATGCTGGTCATCCTTCCTGCTTTCTCCACCCTTGTCTGGGACCACCTAAATCCTCTGCTGCCAATAGTAAGTGTAGACACAGGAGCAGGGATAGCATCATGGTTCCCCTAATCATCAAGACAGGCGGGGTGAGGAAGAAGAGGCAGTGGGGATGCATGAGAGGGGGTCTGAGGAGCACGTGACTGACCCTTAGCCTGCTGATGAATACGCCGGCATCCTCTGCCGAGAGCTTCCCTTGCTGGGTCATGATGCGCTGGATGGCTTTGAGGACGTCGGCAGCCATGGTGACGTCCCCGCAGACGTAAATGTGGCCCCCTTGCTCCTTCAGGGCTCGGTACACAGACTCGGCCAGCTGCTCTTGCAGGATGTCCTGCACGTACTTCTGCAGGGAGCAGAGAACCCGTGAGACGGGCCACGCTGGGGGACACGCCCGCCGTGGCCCACGTTTCCCCAGAAGCAGAGCCTGGCTCGGGGGCCTGCGGGCAAGGGAGATCTTTTGTGAGGTGATCCTGGGGCACAAGAGTGGGGGACCAGGAGGCGTGAGACAGGGAAGGGGAAGCCAGGGAAGGGGGTGTGACCGTGCTGCCCCCCACTTTGGGCAGCTGGAGCTCAACTCTGCCGAGGACCCTCTAGGGAGCTGGGCAGAGAGCTCCCCAGAATCATCCCCATGGAGGGAGAGAGACAAGGGCATTGGCAACTTGCTCCTCTTCCCTGGTGACCAGTGGTCACCCACAGCATGTATCTAGGTGCAGGGCTGGTCATTAGCATCTGACGAGTGCAGGGAGGCCCGGGCAGACACAAGACACGGGCGAGGTGGGGGCTGCCACCTCCCATCTGCAAGGCTGGCTGCTGCAGTGACTGCTGGAGTCTGAGATGGGCTTGTGGGGGTGTGGGGATGGGGTATCTAGTCCAGCCTCCAGGGACTGTATCTAGTTTGTCCAGGACGTCTCTCACTTGTCTAGGAAACTCCCCCTCTGGAACTGACACAGGCGGGCCATCCTGGTGTGGCTGTGTGACTGTTGACATGACATGCTCCCACCCTGGTTGTCAAATGGCCACTGCCAGACTCCCCGAACATCTTCTACCTCCAGAAGTCCTAGCCTCTTCCCCGGGACTCCTGGGGCTCCCCCACATCCAAAAGCTTGCTCCAGCCCTGTGGCCCCGGTCCATTCTGACCAGTACTGCCTCGTTGGGGCTGCTCAATACATTTTTAAAAATTCCTCTTGTTAAGCATTTTTTATTATGGTCAAATACACATCACATAACACTTGCCACTGTAACGACTTGCAAATGTACAACTCGGTGGCATTAAGTGCATTCACAGTGTTAGGTGACCATCACTGTCCCATCGCAGAACTTTCTTGTCACCCCAGATGGAAACCCTGTGCCCCACGCCCCTCCTCCCACCCCTGGCGACCACTCACCCACTTCCTGTCTCCGTGGATTTGCCTACTCTCGATGTGACATATAAGTGGCGACCTGTGATGTGGGCTGCTTTCTGAGACACGGAGCAACTTTTTAGGGGGGAGGTCAGAGAGGGTGAGGGTGAGGGGTTTTCAGCGAGTAGGGTGTGCATGTGAACCAAGTGTGTGTGAACTGCGTGGGTGTTTACCACGTGGGTGTGTACTGTGTGGGTGTGTACTGCGTAGGCGTGTACCACATGGGTGTGTACTGTGTTCCTATGTGCCATGTGGGTGCATACCATGTGGGTGTGTACCCCATGGGTATGTACCATGTGGGTGTGTACCGCATGGGTGTGTACCATGTAGGTGTGTACCCTGGGGGTATAGACCGTGTGTATGTACTGTGTGTGTATATGCTGGGCCACGTGGTTACCTTTGGTTTGTCGGGCTCCCGGGAGTAGGCCGTGTACAGCTCTCGGAAGACGCCCTTGTTCTTGGCTTGCAGGGTCTCCTCCCTGTAGATGTGATCTATCTTGGACTGCCGGCACCCAAAGACCAGGACCATGGGGCAAGGGCTCATTCCTGGGGGCCAGGAAGATGCATGTCACTGACGGCTCTGCTGCCTGATTCCAGGGGCGGAACAGAGGGGGAGTGCTGGGCCCTTGGTGTGCACCATGCAGATAGAGGATTGTGAATGTGAGCAGGCAGGGATGTGTGTGCACACGACACACGTGCACACGCGACACGTGTGCTCACATGCACACACTGAGGAAGAAGGGAAAGTGTGCTCAGACCTCCCTTCCCGGGGTCGCAATCCTTCCTTCTCCCCACTAAGAACTTGGCACCCCATGCCGTCAGGTAGTGCTAAGAGCCTGAATTCCCGAGTTGGAGGGCCTGGGTTCGAATCCCAGCCCTGTGTGAAGACGCACAACTTACTCAACTTTTTCTTCCTTTCTTTTTTCCTTTCCTCTTCCTTCCTTCCTCCTTCCCTCCCTCCCTCCATCCCTCCCTCCCCTTCCCTCCTGTCTCTCTGCTTTTTTGACAGGGTCTTGCTCTGTCACCCAGGCTTCAGAACAGTGGTACAATCATAGCTCACTGCAGCCTTGAACTCCTAGCCTCAAGCAATTCTCCCACCTCAGCCTCCCAAGTAGCTGGAACTACAAGCATGTGCCACCACAGCCAGCTAATTAAAAAAAATTCTGTAGAGTTGAAATCTCACTATGTTGCCCAGGCTGGTCTTGAGAAATTCAGTGAGAAATAAATGGGAAAATTAAAATCTGTGCCTGGTACCTAGTGAACACTCTGTAAAGGCTACCTATCCTGGAAGGGAGGAGAAAAGGAAGACAGAAAAGTTGAGTGAGTTGTGCATCTCCACGCATGGCTGGGATTCGAACCCAGGCTGTCTAGAATGACAGCACCATGGGGCAGGTTTTTATTTTTTATTTTAGTTGCTTTTCTGTCTTGTTCATTGCTGTCTCCAGCACTTCTGGTTGTGTTTGGCACCGTAAGGTTCTCAATTAATCTGTGTGTATGTGGTTTTTTTTTTTTTTTTTGAGTTGGAGTCTCACTCTGTTACCAGACTGGAGTGCAGTGGCTGCTCCCGGCCACCGCAGCCTCGACCCACTGGGCTCCGGAGATCCTTCAGCCTCCAACTAGCTGGAATTACGAGCATGCGCTACCACACCCGGCTGATTTTTTGATTTATTGTAGAGATGAGGTCTCGCTGCCCAGGCGGGTCACGAACTAATCTGTGTTTAATGCATGCCCCATTCTAAGCTTCTTCCTCTCCCTCCTCCCACAGCTGAGCTGTTGTGTTTCTTCCACAGCAAGGTTGGCTCTGGAATACCATTCTATAGGACAATCACATGAGCACATCCATTATTATTAATATTATTATTATTTGAGTCAGGGTCTCATACTGTCGCCCAGGCTGGAGTGCAGTGGCATGATCACAATGATCTCAGTTCACGGCAGCCTCGACCTGCAGGGCTCAGGAGATCTTCCTGTCTCAGCCTGCCCAGTAGCTGGGACTACAGGCACGTGATACTTTTTTGACTTTTTTTGTAGAGATGAGGTTCCGCTGTGTTGCCCAGGCTGGTCTTGAACTCCTCGGCTCAAGCGGTTCACCTGCCTCAGCCTCTCAAAGTGGTGGGATTACAGGTGTGAGCCCCATGCCCGGCCGAGCACATCCATTTGGTAAGGATGAACGCCAATCTCTGCTATGCTGCAGTTTTTGAGGGGGCCACATCTGAACAGTCAAAAAACGTCTTCTGGGGATGGCATTTCAGGCCCCAGGACAAGCTGTATGGAAGATCTGTTGGGGCAACTTCACCTAGGGGTCAGGTTGGTCCTACGTTCCCAGCCCTTCCCAGGCACGATGCAACAAAGAGAGGCCACCTTCTCCAGGGCTTCTGACACACCGCTGGGCCACCCCGGGGTGGGATCTGGTGGGCACTAGATCATAACCCACCTTTATGCTGGATATCAAATTGCCGCTGTTGCCAGAAGCTGCGGAAAGGCGCAATGCCAGTGCCCGGACCAACCAGGATGCAGGGAACTTGGGGGTTTCGGGGCAGGTGGAAGCTGGGTGCTCTGAACAGAGAAGAGAGACTCATAAGTCTTGCAAGCTCAAATCTGATCAGAATGGCTGAATCTCGGGTTAGACCTGGTGGCCGTCTTGGGTTGACACAGTGAGACCTACAGCTAGCTTTTCAGCCGGGGCCAGGAGCCCCTTTTCAGGGTGGGGGGCCCACAGATTAGGGGAGGTCCCCAAATGGGAGGTCTGGCCCTTTCTCTGGCCCCCAATCCTGCTCATCGCTGACTGAGCATTTTGAATCCAGAGTTTCTCGGCTGGCACTGAAGTCACTAGGGCTGGCTACTCCCTGACTGTGGGGCTCTCCTGTGCCTTGCGGGGTGTTCAGCAGCATCCCTGGCTTCTACCCACTGGATGACAGGAGCATCTGTGAGTTGTGACAACCCAAAATGTCTTCAGACATTGTCAAATGTCCTGGGTGGAGCGTGGGGGGCAAAAATGATCATGGGTCGAGAACCATTGATTTAACCATCCCTGGAACCTTTCAATCAGGGAGTTACAGACTTTAGTACATACAAGAATCACCTGGGGATGCCCAAAATGCAGATTCCTGGGCAATGTGGTACACTTGGGCTCAGAACTTTTTTTTTTTTTTTTTTGAGTTGGGATCTCACTCCATCTCTCAGGCTGGAGTGCAGTGGCACGATCATGGCTCAATGTAGCCTTGACCTCCTGGGCACAGGCGATCCTTCTGCTTCAGCCTCCTTAGTAGCTGGGACTATAGGTGTGCGCCAGCATGCTCGATTAATTTTGTGATTTTTTTTTTTTGATAGAGACAAGGTCTTGCTAGGTTGCCCATGTTGGTCTTGAACCCCTGGGCTCAAGTGATCCTCCTGCCTTGGCCTTCTGGAGTGCTGGGATTATAGGCATGAGTCATCATGCTCAGTCTAGGTCTCTATTTCAAAACCCCCAGGGATTCTGATGCCCATGGTATGTGGACCTTACAGTGAACATTCTAACCTCAATGGTTGAGAAAAAAGCCAGTGTTCAGGTAGCAATGTCTTTGGTTGACAAAGCAGGAAACTCTAACAGTTCTAAGCTTAAGGTTAGCCTTTCAAGCTGCGTCTGGGAGGAACTACAAATTACAACGAGTGGGGATGACTACAATTAATGGGGGTGGCTGAATCTTCTCCATCTCTATGAGACTGGAGGCAGGTTGGGGGTGCCCAGTGGAACTGGGGTAGAATTTCCACTAGCCCATAAAGTCCACAAAGGTCAAGACCATGTTTGCCTGGTTTTCCACCGTAGCCTCAGCACCCAGCACAGTTCACGCCCCTGGTCAGTATTCGTTACATTGACTTGACTTTGACCAAAGAACTTGCTGCACTGACTGGGTCGCGCTGTCCCACGATCCTGTTTCCTTAACAACTTGGGGAGAGGCAGGATGTGGGTCTCGGTCCTCTCTGACCCAGCCATTTCTCTAGAACCCCTCAGGGTGGTCCCCTACCCCAGCTCATGACATCAACACACAGACTTGTGACAGCTGCTCACGCTTCCTCGCGGGCTACTTACCCTCTCACGAAACAGGGGACCACATCATCAGCCTGTATCTGGTTAAGCCAGGAGGAACACACGCCGTGATGGATGGGTCCTTCTCCATCTAGAAGAAGAACCAAGGTGGGCAGGGTCACCCGCTGTCCCCAAGCTTCCCGGTCATGCCCACTACCCCATGCAGAACACTCATGGGCCAATTGCCAAGTTTCTGTCTTGGACTTCCCGGACTGGAAACCCCTTCCTCTGAAGGGGAAGAGGATATGGTGCAATCGCCCAGGATTCTGCTGGGGAGCGGGGGACGTGTCAGATTCAAATCCTGCCCACCGAAGGGTGTACTGGGTGGTTTCCTGGCATCCCAGGCTCTGAGATCTCCTAGGCACTGTGTGTGTTCACTGCTTTATCGAAGTGGGAACATGCAGTTAAAGAGCTTGGGAAACCCGTGGCCAGCTGGGCATGATGCAGTAGAGGGCTCCCCTGGGGACAGGCGGGGTGGCCTGTTCTAGTCGCTGCCTTGGGGGTATGAGGAGATAGGGAGAGTAAAAGTGCTCTTGGGACCGGAATTGCTGAGTCTTCCTCTGAACTGTGCTCAGGCTGGCTCTGCCCAGTGGACAGTCTCCTGCTGCCTCTAGGCCAGTCTCCTGGTCTTGGGTGTCAGTCTCCTCCTAGGGCTTTGGGATCTGGCCTGGGGATGGCCGTTTCAGGGAACCCCCTAGAAGCCACAGGGCGAAATGCAGCCGAGAAGGCCCCTGGAAACCCCGTGCCCACCTCGGGTGCGGTAGGAGACCACTGCCACGGTGAGGTGCACCTCATCGGGGTACATGTCGGGGGAGGAGCTGATGGAATAGTAGCGAGGCTGCAGCAGGGACAGCTGGGTCAGGAGCAGGGTGGCTGGCATCTGGATGGACGGGAACTCCTCCAGGACCTCCACGATGGTGGGGTTCTTACCCCACTTCCATTCCTCGTACTCCTGCAAGCCCTGGGCCAAGGAGAGGGGCAGAGGCACGCTTGAGTCCAGCTCCCACGAGAATCCCAGGAGGTTCAGGAAGGAGGCAAAATAAAAGTATTAATAGTGGGTCTGGAGCGGCGGCTCACACCTGCCATCCCTGCGCTTTGGGAGGCCAAGGCAGGAGGGCCACTTGAGGCCAAGAGTTCGAGACCAGCCTGGGCAACATAGCCAGGCCCCGACTCTACAAAACATTAAAAAAATTAGTCGGGTATGGTGGTGCCTGTAATCTCAGCAACTCAGGAGGCTGAGGTAGGAGGATCACTGGAACCCAGGAATTCGAGGCTACAGTGAGCTCTGGTTGGGCCACCATGCTCCAGTCTGGGCAAGAGAGTGAGACTCCGTCTCTCAAAAAACAGAAAGTTATTATTTATTTATTTATTTATTTTTTGAGTTGGAGTCTCACTCTGTCGCCCAGATTGGATTGCAGTGGCCGCTCCTGGCCACCGCAGCCTCGACCTGCTGGGCTCCTGCGATCCTTCTGCCTCAGCCTTTCAAGTAGCTGGAACTAAGGTGCGCACTACCATGCCCGGCTAATTTTTTGATTTATTGTAGAGATGAGGTCTCGCCAAGTTGCCCAGGTGGGTCTCGAACATGCAGGGTCAGGCAATGCACTCACCTCAGCCTCCCAAGGCACGGGATTATAGGCTGAGTCACTGAGCCCAGCAAAACAGAAAGTTTTAACAGTTAATACTTAAATAGCTGTTATTCTGTGCCAGTTTTGATCGTCATGGGGATCTTATAAAACAGGTATTGCTATTATCCCCATTTTATAGATGAGGAAACTGAGGAACACAGAGGAACTACAGCTACCACGTGGCGGTGCTAGGTTTTAAACGTAAGCCAGGGGTCGCAGACTTCAGTCTGCAAGCCAATACTGGCTTGCTGTCTGTTTTGTATGGCCCATAAGGTAAGAATTATTTTCTACATTTTTATTTTTTAAGAGACAGGGCCTCATTTTCTCATTCAGGCTGGAGTGCACTGGTGCCATTATAGCTCACTGCAGCATCCACCTCCTGGACTCAGGCGAACCTTCCACCTCAGTAGCTGGGACTACAAGTGTGTGCCACCACACCTGGCTAATTTTTAAAGATATTTCTAGAGACAAGGTCTCGCTTTGTTGCCCAGGCTGGTCTCGAACTCCTGGGCTCAAGCAATCCTCTTGCTTCTGCCTCCCAAAGTGCTAGGATTACAGGTGTGAGCTACCTACCATGCCTGGTCTGTTTTTCTTTCTTAAATTAATTAATTAACTAGTTATTTTTTGGAGCAGGCTCTCACTCTGTCACCCAGGCTGGTGTGCAGTGGCACGATCACAGCACACTGCAGCCTTGACTTCCTGAGCTCAGGCGATCCTTTCACTTCAGCTTCCTGTGTAGCTGGGACCACAAGCGCATGCCACCGTGCCCGAATAATTTTTTGATTTTTTTTGCAGAGATGAGGTCTTGCTAGGCTGGTCTGGAACTCCTGGACTCAAACAATCCACCCACCTGGACCTCCCAAAGGGCTGGGATTACAGGCATGAGCCACTGTGCCCCGCCCTGTTTTTAACTGATTGGGGGAAAAAAAATCAAACGGAAAATAATAGATTCCAAAAGAATAGGATATGAAATTCGTACTTCAGTGTGCCATCAAAATGCTTGTAAAGTGTGACTGGAATGCAGCCACGTTCCTTTGTTTACATGTTGTCTACTCTGTCCCATCACAGAGGCAGGACTGGATAGTCGTGACAGGAACCAAATAGGCTGCAGCCTAAAATATTTACCACCTGGCCTTTGGCAGGAAATACCTGCCCACCCGGTTCTCGGCTGTCTGTCCCCAGGATCTGCCCACCTAACAGTCAAGAAAAGGGAGAGGCACCCAGAACGCAGGGTTGAGATTTGCTGATGGCAAATCTGCTGGGCGCACATCCCCAGGGGAGCATGGGTCACGTCCATATGTGACAGCCCCGGAAAAACAGGCTGGGATGTGTGGGGGACCACATCGAGGGCATGTTGACAGCCAAGCCCTGCTGTTGCCAGGGCACAGAGGCGCTTTCTGGGGCTCTGGGGGTATTCCCCCTAAATCTCAGAGATACCCCAGGCAGGCCCTGATTACTGGCAGAGGAGGTGTGGCTTCTGAGGCTGGAGTCAAGCCTATTGCCAGCGCACTCTAAAACACGGATTTCTTGTGTCCCTAAAGACCATCCTTGCTTTACTGATAGGGTGTGGCATCCCTGAGGCTGTGCTTTTCAGACAGACCCTCCAGTCTCACCGCCTCCAGCGGCAGAAGTCCACACAAAGACAAATATTGCAGGCTAACACTCATTTGTGGGAGCTGAGCGGGAAAACAATTGAGCTCCTGGAGACAGAGTGGAATGATGGCTACCAGAGGCTGAAAAGGGGGGCGGGGGCGGGGGAGAGAGCGGATGGTTCATGGCTGCAGAAATACAGTTAGACAGAATGAATTAGGTGCAGTATTTGATAGCACAACAGGGTGACGATAGTCGACAATAATTTATTATATGTTTTAAAATAGCTAAGAGTGGAATTGGGATGTTTCTAACACAAAGAAATGCCAAGTGCTAGAGGTGATGGATACCCCAATCACCTCGATGTGATAGCTACACGTTGCATACCTGCATCAAAACACCACACGTACCCACAAATATGTACATCTACCACATGCCCATAAAAATTGAGAAAAGAAAAAGCTTATCTTTAAACCAGGGCACTGTGAGATTCCCAGCTTTTCTCCCAAGCATGGACTCAGATGGAACAAAGAGAAGCCCAAGGGCCCAAGGGGAGGTGGAAAGAGAATAGAAATTTCTACGGTCGTCAGAGAACTGCGAGAGTCAAAGGGGTCACTCTTGTTCTGTGGGGCGTCAGAACGAGGAGGGGAGGGCGTCGGGATCAGCCAAAACGGATCGGCCAACAGGGCGACTGCCCGTGCGGGGTGTGGGGGGGGAAATGGCCACCTTGGCTCAAGCCTGGCACCTGCTGGAGAACGGTCACAATAGCAGTGTTTGAAAGATGTCAGGTGGGGCTGTCCCAAGCCTAGGCACTCACCTTGCTGAGGACCAGCAGACGCTGCTTCTCCTTTTCGCTGGTGGCCAGGGAGGCAAACTGTTGCAACTGCAGGGGCGTCGGCGGCGTGGTGATGTCCAGGTAGTACTTGAAAGCCTGGAAGACGGTGCAGGGCGGGAGGCGGTGCTCGTCCGCCCAGTTGCTGATGACGCCTGGGGAGGCACAGTGGGGGGAGGGGAGAGGGGTGAGGGGCGAGGGTGGGAGGGCTGGGGTCCAGGCCGGAGGGGCCAGCCCACGTCTGGAGCAAGGGATGGGGCCAGGGGGCAGGATGGTCCCAGAATCCAGCAACTCCTCCCTCCACCCTCCATGCCCACATCGGCATGCAGGACCCAGGGACCCCATGAGCCCAAGAAGCATGTCCCAAACCAGTCAGGCAAACTCGTCCGATCACAAGCACGAAAAGAGGAGAAAACTACGAAAAGCGGATGAGCCCCCAAAGGCGTGTGAGATGGGAGAGTCTATTCTGGCACCATCTGTCCTCAAATGGTCTCAGCTGGTTTCTCACCCCCGCCCCCCCCACCATGGGATTTTAACGAACACTTCTCTAGTACTTTCTGTATGCCAAGACTATTCTCAGTACTTTATATTATTAACTCATTTAATCATCACAACCATCTGAGGGGATGAGTGCTATTCCATCCCCATTGAGAGAAATGGAAGCACAGAGAGGTTAAGAAATTTTGCCTGAAGTCACACAGCTCATAAGCGTGAAGTCAGGCAGTCTGGTTTCAAGCCTTGTTCTAAGTAGTACATTGTCCTCTGTTTGTGTCCTACCTATCCAATATGGCCCGTAGACAAAAACCTCTCCTTCATCAGGGGTTCAAGAAAGCTGTGTTTCAACACAGAAAGAACTGGCTGGGTTGGGTTTATTAAGAGAGGGCATGTCTCCCCAAGGTGGTGCCTTCCTAAGGGATTTTCAAGAGGGTTTTGACTCTAGACTATTTGCATATTCCGCCCTGATGTTACACCTGGCTCCTTTGTAAGGGTGACAGTCATGGCATCACAGGCTGCCAGGTAAGGTCACGTCAGTTCCCTGTCCCTGAGCTCTGAGCACCCCCTTGTGCCCCCGAGATGAATCACTGAGACCCACTGGCCTTGGAAAGCTCTTCAATAGGAATGTCAAGGGCGGTCACTTATAAACAGGTTGGAACTTGACCGAGTGAGGTCAGAAGCACGGGTTCAATCACAGGTGGCCATCAGGCTTCATCCAGTGCCTTTTGATTCTCAGAGGAGACAGGATGAGACTTCAT